GACTCATAGCCAGGTTATTATTCCAGCTGGGTATCTGATGACCGAGAGGGGATATGTGTTGATGGCTTGGATCTTGTTCTTGCCATTGAGCTGGGAATTCAGGACCTGTCTGACTCTTTGGAGGTACTTGGATGTTGCTATCCTTCTTGCCTCTTCCTCATGGTTGCCATGCGTTTTTGGTACCCCCAGGTACTTGTAGCTCTTCTCTACATCTTCTATTTGGCCTTCTAGAACTTCATCTCCTTCTGTCGTGATCATCTTCCCTCTTTTTGCTATCATCCGCCCGGACTTCTCTAGTCCAAACAACATTCCCATGTCCTTGCTGTATATCCTAGTTAGGTGGATCAGTGAGTCAATGTCTCGCTAATTCTTGGCATACAGTTTGATGTCGTCCATGTAGAGTAGGTAGCTGATGGTAGCTCCACTCTTGAATCACCTTGGTATATGCCACATTTAATGTTCTCTTGAGTTGATGTCCTGGAATTTGCTTCTAGAGTTGTTTTCCACTTGCCCATCGAGTTCTTGATGAAGGCTCTTATTGTCTTGCTGACCTTGTGGAGAGCCAAGCATTCCAATATCCACGTTTGTGGCATTGTGTCATAAGTTTTCTTGTAGTCAATCCAGGCCGTACACAGATTGGTCTGTCTTGTCTCAGAATTCCTTGTGACTGCTTGGTCTACCAGTAGTTGTGTTTTGATCCTCTGGTGTTGTTTCCAATCCCCTTCTGAGTATTGCTCATATATTGACTCATATGCCCTTGGATCTTGGAGGCTATGATGCCTGACAGGAGTTTCCATGTTGTGGTGGCAGGTTATTGGTCCGTAGTTGGATAGTGCTGTTCCCTTGTGAGGGTCCTTCATGACCAGTATTATTCTGCCTTGTTTTAGCCAGTCAGGGTGGGAGCCTGTTGCTAGTAGCTGGTTCATTTGTGCTGCTAGGCATTCATGCAGCACTGTTAACTTCTTTATCCAGTAGTAGTGGATCATGTCAGGTCCTGGGGCTGACCAGCTCTTCATGCTTTCTGTTGGATATCTTCGACTGTGATGATGACTGGTTCCTGATCTGGCATTATGCAGTGGTCTGCTTTCAGGTCTAGTAGCCACTGGGCCTCAGTTTTAAAAGATGCGTATTGCTTCCAGATATTCTTACAGTACTGTTCAGTCTCAGCTCTGGGTGGGTCTTGTGAGGAGATGTGGTGGTTACCCTGTGGCTGTGGATACACCTTGGATGGTTCTTTGATAAAGAGGGCTTTGATTCTCTTAGCCTCTTCTTCTCTGGTGTATCTGCTTAGTCTGGTTGCCAGTGCTGTCAGTCTTTGCTTAGCTGTTTCCAGTGCCTCCCGTATGGGCATATCCTTGTACATCCGCAGCAGCCAAGATCTATCTTTGATCCTTCCACCTCTTTTAAGTTGATCCAGCTTACTAACTTCCTTCTGTGCTGTCTTTATCTTGGCTTCTATTTGTAGTCTCCATGGTGGGCATTGCTTCTCTTTGAGCCTGATTTTGTAGTCAAGTAGCTGGAAGACCACTAATGCTGTGGCATATATGAGCCTGTTCGTTTCTGTGATGGTTCAGGATGAAATTGTGGTCAATGCTTCATTAACTGCAGCTAGTATGCTATCTGGTGGTTGCTTTCCAGTGATCTTCGGTAGTCTTGTCTGCAGGTTAATGACTGCTAGTTTTTCTAGGATCATTTCCCTTATATCTGTTGTTATGCCATCTTGGGTATGGATTCAAGTTGACAATTCTCTGCAGGTAAGAATGTGGGTATGGGAATTTCTTCCTCCTCATGGTGTATGGTTGATTTCTTCTGTAGTCCATTTATTTCCAGTTGTGGCCCTAGATTTCTCTTGAAGATGTTCAAACGTTGTGTAACCAGCTGCTTTGGTGTCAGGGTAGATGATGGTCTCTTATTCAGCCATACCTCCCACATACGTTTCATGTAGCCTCTCTCATCCAGTTTGAATGCTGTTGTAGTAGCATTCAAGCAGGTTTAGGTTTTCTCTTCTTGTCAGGGAATGATTTGTTTCAGTAGCCCACTTGTGACCAGATTGCCCTGGTTCAGTAGCATCTGACGCGGACCTTGTTAAGGGAGACGTCCGAGCCGGCATGACTCTCTTGATTAGTGTTGCTCTCATATTATTGAGGTGGGCAGGGTATATATCATTAGATGTCTTGCCCAGGGACACTTACTGATGCAGTGATTGGACTGGGATTTGATCTTAAGCAAATGGAATGCGATGAGGAAAATGTGGAAGCTTTATGGGTAAGTATCTGCTTTGGGGAAAAGAAGGGAAACCAGCTATTGGTTGGGATATGTTATAAAACACCTAATGTTAATATTGACGAGGAACAACAGCTGTTTGAGCAAATTAAGAAAGCTGCAAATCTGGGTAACACTTTAATTATTGGAGATTTTAATTACCCGGACATAAATTGGGACAGAGGAACTAGTAGCTCAGCAAAAGGAATTAGGTTTTTAAACTTATTAAATTACACCTTCATGTCACAACTTGTACAAGCACCAACTAGAATGGACGCTTGTCTGGACCTGGTTTTAACAAACAATTTTTATCTTTAGACCAACATTCAGGCACTTGGGAAATAGTGATCACAATGTAGTGTTCTTTGAAATAAACTCAAAAAAACAAAAGCACATGGGGTATACTGCAACATATACTTTTTAAAAGGCCAATTTCAATAAGTTAAGGGAAGCTTTACAATATATTGACTGGCAAAAACTCTTTAGTGAAAAGAACACTGAGGATAAATGGATCATCTTCCAACAAATATTAAAAAGGTACATTTATCAGTATGTACCGTTGGGAAATAAATATAAAAGAAACAAATTAAAACCAATGTGGCTTAGTAGAGAAGTAAAACAAGAGATTACAAGAGAAGGGCATTTAAAGCATTTAAAGCATTTAAATCGGACAAATCGGATGCATCTTATAAAAGATATAAGGAAGCAAATAATGCGTGTAAAAAGGCAATTAGACTTGCTAAACTTCAAAACGAAAAAATGATAGCTAAAGAGAGCAAAACCAACCCCAAAGCATTTTTTAAGTACATAAATTCTAAAAAAAAAAAAAATGAAAGTGTAGGTACACTAAAAACTGAAACGGGGGTGTTAGTTAATGAAGACCGGAAAAAGGCAGGAATTTTAAATAACTATTTTTCCTCCGCATATATTAAGGAAGAACCCATGGCAATAGATGTGCAAATGATTGCTACTAAAAACTTGCAGAATAATTGTAATTGGTTAACTCAAGACAAGGTGCTGCAGCAACTAAAGAAAGTTAATATAAACAAATCTCCAGGGCCTGACGGTATCCATCCACGTGTACTTAAAGGACCACTCTAGGCACCCAGACCACTTCAGCTTAATGAACTGGTCTGGGTGCCAGGTCCAGCTAGGGTTAACCCATTTTTTTATAAACATAGCAGTTTCAGAGAAACTGCTATGTTTATAAATGGGTTAATCCAGCCCTCAAAGCCTCTAGTGGCTGTCTCATTGACAGCCACTAGAGGCGCTTGCGTGATACTCACTGTGAAAATCACAGTGAGAACAGGCAAGCGTCCATAGGAAAGTATTATGAATGCTTTCTTATGAGACCGGCTGAATGCGCGCGCAGCTCCTGCCGCGCGTGCGCATTCAGCCGAATGGGAGGAACGAAGGAGGAACGGAGGAGGATCGGAGGAGGAGAGCTCCCCGCCCAGCGCTGGAAAAAGGTAAGTTTTAACTGCTTTCCTCTCCCCAGAGCCAGGCGGGAGGGGGTCCCTGAGGGTGGGGGCACCCTCAGGGCACTATAGTGCCAGGAAAAAGAGTATGTTTTCCTGGCACTATAGTGGTCCTTTAAGGAACTAAGTGTAGAAATAAGTGAACCTCTGTTTTTAATCTTTCAAGATTCTTTTCTTTCAGGAAGTGTTCCGGAGGATTGGAGGAAGGCAGATGTGGTTCCTATATTCAAAAACGGTTCAAATTCCTTGCCTGGAAATTATAGACCTGTGAGCTTAATTTCTGTGGCTGGTAAAATATTTGAAAGGTTATTAAGGGATAATATTCAAGAATTCCTTGAGAAGAACATGGTTATCAGCAAAAATCAGCACGGTTTTATGAAGCACAGGTCATGTCAAACTAACTTAATTGCGTTCTACGAAGAAGTAAGTAGAAATATAAATCAGGGTGTTGCCGTGGATGTGATCTATTTGGATTTTGCCAAGGCATTTGATACAGTTCCACACAATAGATTAGTGTTCAAACTCAAGGAAATCGGTCTAGATGAAAATGCTTGTTCTTGGGTAGAACATTGGCTTAAAAACAGAGTACAAAGAGTTGTTATTTTTGGTAAATTTTCAAGCTGGACAGAGGTGGCAAGTGGTGTCCCTCAGGCGTCTGTTCTGGTACCCCTTCTATTTAACACGTTTATAAATTATCTTGAAGACAGCATTGAAAGCCATGTTTCAGTGTTTGCAGATGACACAAAACTTTCTAAAATAATACAATGTGAGCAAGATATTACTTTGCTGCAGAGGGATTTAGGTAGACTGGGGGACTGGGCACTCAAATGGCAGATGAAATTTAATGTTGAAAAATGCAAAGTTATGCACTTCGGTGTAAAGAATACACAAGCAACGTATACCCTTAATGGAAGCGAATTAGGGATAACAACACACGAAAGGGACTTGGGAATTGTTATAGACAACAAACTATGCTACAATGTGCAATGTCAAGGCCAGTAAGGTATTGTCATGCATGAAAAAGGGCATTCATTCTCGGGACGAGAATATCATTTTGCCTCTTTATAAATCACTGATAAGACTCCATATTGAATATGCTGTGCAATTTTGGGCACCTGTTCTAAAGAAGGATATTATGGCACTAGAAAAAGTGCAGAGGCGGGCTACAAAATTAATCAAAGGAATGGAACATATCAGCTATGAAGAAAGGTTAACAAATTTAAACCTATTTAGTTTAGAAAAACGTTGCCTGAGAGGGGATATGATAACATTATACAAATATATTTGGGGCCAATACAAACCATTGTGTGGAAATCTATTCACAAACCGGACTTCACATAGGACACAAGGCCATGGAAGAAAGAAGATTTTGTCTAAGGCAAAGGAAAGGTTTTTTTTTTTACTGTAAGAACAATCAGCATGTGGAATTCTCTGCCTGAAGAAGTGGTTTTATCAGAGTCCATACAGATGTTCAAACAGCTACTAGATGCATACTTGCAAAAACAAAATATTCAAGGATATATTCTTTCAATGTAGGGTAATAACTGCTTGATCTAAGGATAAATCTGACTGCCATTCTGGGGTCAAGAAGGAATTTTTTTCCTAGCTTGTTGCAAAATAGTGCTTCAAACTGTTTTGTTTGCCTTCTTTTGGATCAACCGCAAAAAACAAATGTGAGGAAGGCTGAACTTGATGGACGCAAGTCTCTTTTCAGCTATGTAACTATGTAACTATGTGACTATATTGATTAAAACAATGTAGTAGTAATAGTCCTGTGAATGCAAGAACAACCACAACCAATTCGTTAAACAGGTGTTTTTCTGCGAATTGTCACACAGCTTGCAAAATTTGTTCAAAAATGTTGCATATCAGATTTATTGTTTGCCTATTCTCACTTCATCTTAGAGCATGATATAATTTTCTGTTTCATTATTGGGATATATTTATTATCTCCTTCCTACTTTTTAGAAAGATGTTAATTTTATGTGTAGTGAAAGAGTGCTAAAAAAAAGTGGTAAACTAATACACAGCACTCTCTTTATAAAGCCTGCTTTAGAATTCACACCTGATATTTGCCACTTTGAAATCAATAGTATGTATAACTAGCAAAGACAAGCTAAATTGTGTAACTTAGCCGGTCACAAACCAAGCAAGGGAAAATAAAACTGTTTTTCTTTCATCGTGAGGACTTTTTAAACCCTGAAGAATTAAATATCGACTGTGCTGTAAAGAGGCGAAATGAGTTATTTACAAAGACATGTTTAAACTCACTCTACGGAGTAATTTGTGTGATGTATCACACTTGGAATGGTTTCTGTCATTTTTACTTTGTCACAAATTAATATTATTGAGAAGATGCTCTGACACTGTTCAGACATATGGGTAATTAAATATTGTACATTGCAGGTCACGGCTCAGCCTAAATTATAATGCAAACAGAGCAGAAAATATCACTGGTGACAATCCAATTTTATATCACTTGCAAGTTCTTCCATGTTTTAACTCCCTAATTACCACAGATCTACATACGATTTAAAGGAACACACCAATTACAGATGTGTATACATATATTTTTGGATGCATTCTTTAAAATTTAAAAATTACTGGGCTTCTTCATCTTGCCATTAAAAAAAATAGTAAAAAATCTTACACAGGACGTCCTGATTCAATGCTTTCCTATGAGGAGGTCAAATGTGCAGCACTTGCCGAACATGAGCATTAGCACCCGCTCATCGCGGGATGGAGGAAGGGGCGGGGCGTCGGTCCAGCACCGAGGATTTTTAGCCCTTTATTTACTGGGTCATGGGGTGGAGGGGGGAGAGGGGGAGGCGGAAGGAGCTCTAGTGCCAGGAATGCATTAACTACCTTAATTATATCACAGGCAGAGGGGAGGGATTGTTTACTGTATGTGGGAGTGTTGTTTATTGTTACATTTTTTTTTATTGATCTGTACAGTTTGTAATGCGGTGCTCCATCAGGTCCAGAGGGTGTGCCTCTGGCCTGAGGAATTGTATATAAAGCCAACCTGTACCATTAAACGTTCAGCTCTACTTCACCCTCAATCTAGAGTCTTGTCTCTTATTGGGGGGAATTACTATATCACTACAAGGGATTGCTAGGACCATCATACTCCCTTGGATAATCACTAGCTCTTGTAAGAGCTGTTCCTTCTACGATCTCTGAAGGAAGAGAGGTTCACCCACTGGAACCTGGAGCCTTGTCGTAGGTCCAAGGTGGGTAGGATATGGCAAGACCCCAACCAAGCTGCAGGGTCTGTGGTACTTATGGTGTCTGGAGAAGTGCTGGGAGCCCTCGGTAAGCACTAGGAGCATCTGTCGGCGGAGGTACCCAACCGGGGTACAGGAAGCTCCGTTACTAAAATATTTGAATGTGAAAAATTCTCCAACTATTTTTTGGCTTTTTTTAGACTAAAGTTTTCAATTCTATAGTCATTTTTTATTTAGAAAATATTTTTAACAGGGTGCATATATTGAGATTTATTTTATTTTAAAGGGACACTTCACAACCCATATAAAAATAAAAATAATAATGAAATTACCTGTTCAGTATATGTACGCTTAATTAAAACATGCATTTTTTAATTGTGGATATATCTAAAGACAGCTTTTAAAAGCTGCTTATCTCTTGCCTGACGCCTTTGAGAAGTCTTTGCAAGGTAGGTGATCTGGGCAATTGCCTGCCCCTTGAGTTTAGTTTCACTGAACTAAGCAGCCATGTAGAAAAAGGACTGGTTGCCTGATACATAAAAGTGTCAATTTCAATTAAAATCTGCATTTTTGGGTGAAGTAAAAAAATGACTAATTCATAACATGAAAGGCTCTTCACTAAGCTCGGGTGTTTTATGGGTCTGGAATGTCCCTTTAACCCCTTCCCGACCTTGGACGTACCAGGTATTTCTGAAAATAAATGGCAGTTAACGACCGCAGACGTACCTGGTAGGTCCGATAGTAAATCCCCACTTACCTGATCGCTGGCAATGTCCCACCGGCAATCGCGGTCCTCGGGTCTGCCTGGGAGCTGAGGCAGACTCCCTCTTCCCGATCCGGCCCTCCTGTGCCATGTGATCGCACGGTCCTTGCGAACACATGGCCGGTATAGCTGGCTTGTGCAGTGCCTGCAAGGGGAGTGCCGAAACCTCTCAGGCTGTCCCCCTCATGCCTGCACAAAAGTAAATAAAAGTTATTATAAAGTTAATAAAAGTACTTAGATCATATATATATATATATATATGATCTAAGTACTTTTATATGCACATACGCATACATAAAACATTATTCAAAGTGTATTTTAATATTAATCTATATAATTTTATATATATATATATATATATATATATATTAAAATACACTTAGAATAATGTTAAATATATATATAAAATCAGATACAGCTTGGCACTCTCCTAATCGCTGGGTCAGTAAAATAATACTTGCCACCCACGTTGAGCATATATCAAATAATATCAGGGGTGCACTCACAGGTCTTTGTGAAAAAAAATTGTGGTTTAATGGAACAAAACTTCAGTTACATATGTAATACAATCGACGTTTCGACCCCTACGGGTCTTTTTCAAGATATATATATATATATATATGGCTTTATCATATAAATACTTTAATACAAAAAAAGAAAACATTTAGAAGAAAGAAAAGAAGAAAAGCCAACTTCTTCATTGTAATAGTGTACTGCAAAGTTAAAAAAAATTTGTTTAACTTTTTTTTTAATCAATTAAAACACGATTGTAGTGAAATTTTACAGACACACACAAACCACATAAAATACAATTTTAACTGGAATGTTTGAAAATATATGAAATATATAATATTTAAATTAATGCAAATAAATAAATGCATTCTGGGACAGGTTACACCAATTTGCTTACACAGCAAATATTAAATCAGTAGCAGCTTTCAAATTATGATGTATGGATAATCTATAGTGCCTATACACATATATATCTATGTTGTGTTTTTGTCGTTACAATGCTTTGCAAAAATAATTAGACTGCTAATCCCCATTGGTTTTTAGGAATTTAAACTTTAGCACATAATTAACCACTTGTGTAATATTTATTCATAAACTTATTTTTATCTCTCAATAAAATTGTAAATATGTGGAATAAAGAAACAGTTAATAATTAAATAAATACGTAAATGTGCTGAGAAATTAAAGAAGACAAATTGAGGTAATAAGATGCTCAGACTGGGCTTTCCAGGCCAATAGAAAGAAAATGCTGCTCTTGTGATTGAGTTAAATGGTATTGTAAAAAATATATGACGAGAATTGTTTTATTAACTTCAGTTGCTTAATTTCACATAGATACTTAAAGCAGCAGGATACGTAATGCATTCATGCCACATTATTATTGAAGCTCGGGGCTAAAATGTCAAAGACGTCAGCGGTAGGAGGAAATTAATGCTTTAGTCATCTATTGGTAGCTATGCACAATTACCCTAAATAATGGTATGTTATCAAGAGGAGAATGATAGGCCATAGTTCTGGTGCCTTGTGGGAAATCAATATAACAGAGCTTTACAAAGGGTTTGCAGAACCCTGCGTCTTAGCCAAGCTTCCTCTGTTTCAACTCCCTTTTCACTTTATACTTCTCTTCCTCTCGCTCTCCTAACCTCTAGTGCCAAATGTCATAGTGGTAAAATGTCATTATGATTCACAGCAAAAAATTCTAGGAGTTGCAGTTCACAAATAACTCCTCTGCTTTGATTTCTGTCAAGAAGCTCCTCCCCTACACTTTAACCCTGCAGCGCAAGGTAAAGCAGGTTCAAAGCCCATAATGCATAGATCATATTATGATGCTGCTGATTGGCCTGCTACTTCCTGGAATGGACAAAGTGTAAGACTGATAATGTAGTATGTTTGGAATTTGCATGAAATGAAAGGAACACTATAGGGTTAGGAATACAAATCTGTATTCTTCACACTATAATGTCCCAGTCTAGGGTAATATTAGGTCCCTCCAGTATCATTTTACTCACCTTATGTAAGTGCCAAAACTCCCGGGGTTAGTTAGTTTTCCATCCCTGGCGATGTCACAGAGGAGGTACAGCCTCCTGCGGCTTGGTCCAATTCAGTGCTCCTCATAGAGGTACATTAGGGGCCTCATGTGCATGCGAGGCAAGCGCTGTGCATGCAATCAAGCTTTCCAATAGGCGGACTTAACCCTGCAATGTAACCACTGCAGTTTCTGAAAAATTGCAACATTTTACATTGCAGGGTTAAGAGGACAGGGACACTACACGCAGACCACTTCACTAAAATGAAGTGTCCTGGGTTACTATAGTGTTCCTTTAAGGAATAACATTTAACAAATTGTTGGGAGATCTTCAATTCAGCTGAGCAGGAAGAGTGAATATATTAGTCTGATTTCAAACTAGGGAATCCATTATTTCAAATTCTGTATTATATTTTCAAAGAAAACTGAACAAGTTTGATAAATGTAGT